ATATATATATATATATATATTACTACCCACTCCAGAATATATATATATATTGTGGAGTCGGTAATACATATTTCCAGAATCTCGCCGCTACGATCAAATCGAATCACGAAAGCATCGACGGGTGAATCATCCGATTGGCTCTTTCAGAAACATACCATGTATATTTTCAGCCAATCAAACGCACCGAGATATTTTCCACATTCACAATAGAAAACAAATCATCACGTCAATAATAATGACGTTGTTGGAACGTTCTAGCGAATATGCACAATATATATATACATATATATATTTATATTTATACATATATTTATATATATACATATATCTATATATACATATATATATTATTATTATTGTATATATTATTATTATTGTATATATTATTATATATATACTTATAGAGAGAGAGAGCGACGTCTTACTTGAAACAACGGGTTTACAAGCAGTGCCCGCACTTCTTCGCTTGGCTCGACTGGTGCCATGATAATGCACGGAATGTTGTTGATCGAAGCGGCGCCGTTGGGGCCACACACGATGCGATCGGGATGGTAGAACTCTGTGAAAAAATCAAGCAGAACGCTGGCGCTGGCCACGTGGCCCAATAGAAGCACGTGCGGGAGGTTCGGGTCGGGAATATAGGTCTTCCGAAACGGCGACTGCATCGCCAGCAGCGCGACGAGGCGATTCACTTCTTGGGGTAGCATCACGAGCGACCCCAATATCATCGCACACGTCACCACCTTCCCAAACGTTGTCGCAGGTCTGGATCAGAATCAGAATCAGACGAACATAGGAATCAGACACAGCACGAAGGCTCGACCGGTTAGAATCAGACACAGCTCGTCCACTCTGCCAAACACAGTACATCCACGTACGTGGGACAGAATCAGAAATGGCTCCCACAGTCCACCCACAACCACACAATACCCAAGTACATGTTGCCCAAGATATTAGTTCTTCACAACTCGAAACTGGAGCCACAGAATGTCGTCTGACAAAAATTACATTCTTAGCCAATCAAATCACGAATCGTGGTGAATTTCTACCAATCCAAATTCCTGATTCCGTTCCTATTAATAGTAATATATACCAAACGATGTAATAGTAA